TTTGTGATCTTAGAAAGCTTTATGGGAGAAAATCCTTCATCCTGTCTGTTCCTAAGATTTGGTGGAGAGTTGTGAAGAACTTGCTGGAGAGACAGAAAATTAATAATAAAAAACCCTCAGATGTAATTAATCCTTCCATTTTTTTTCTTTATCATCAGGAGTGAGGCTTTGATTTTAGCGATATACAAATCAGCCTTAACTGGATGTGAATTTCTAAAATGTTTTTTAAAAATTAAACAGTTTCTATCTGGCTTGTTCAGTAATTCAGAAAATTAAACTGTTTATATTTAGCTATTGAAATCAATTGAAAAAATGTACATATTAGTATTTTATTATCATTTTTGAAAAATAAATAAATTGTTCAGTCAACTTGGGAAGCATTCAGTTCAGCTATACACAGAACTCTGAATCAAATTGCTAAATTGATTAAAATGTCTTACTGAATCTCTTAATTGTGCCATTCCATATTCTCTTGTGCCAAACTGAAAAACAAACATTAATTTAAAACAAATAAATAAAAACTCTCCACAATCTACTGCCATAACTGTACAGCACAAAATATGCCTGATATTCTTATTTTAAAGATCATCAATAACAACAAAAATCAGGTATAAAAGACTTGCAAATAACCATAACCTTACTGAAATGTATTCAGACAAAACTTTCACCAGTGATATTGTAAAACTATCTTTTAAAAGCTAATGCTGAATCTTAATTTCTACTTCAACTTTACTATAGAGAGCTTGTTTCTCTCTGCAGAGTAGACCAAGCCAAAGTGTTTCAATTGCTATTTATCTTCTCTCTTTTCCCCTCCCTCCTCCTCTTTCTCTTTCTCAAGGAAATAAAATGCATACAGGTAACCAATAGGCTTAACCATGTCATTCCTACTAGTTGTGAAAGAAATAACAGTGCCTCACTAATACATTTGGATCCTGGCTTTTCATTGTTCTATGAACAGAACAAATTTGTCCATATTTTCACACAGAAATGAAGTATGTGAAGAAGTCTAATTTTCACCCAAAACTTCCATCCACTTCCCATGAAAATAGAAATAGCTCTGAAATGTGATCAGATGTATTCAGCAGGTTCTGACCAGTTCTGGGGAACCAGTAGCAGAAATTTTGAGTAGTTTGGAGAACTGGCAATACCAACTCTGATTGGAGATTTTACAGTATCCTTCCCCTGCCACGTCCACCAAGCCACACCCACAGAATCAGTAGTAAAATTTTTTGAATCCCACCACTGAATGTGATGTGATTAATATGAATGAAATTAATCATCCTTACTCTGTAAATATAAGCATGTAAATCATATTGGTGGTGTTAGCCTTTTACACGGTAGCATTTGTGCTTCCACTTTAAAGTATTTTCTGTGAAATAGAATCCAGATCTTGGGAAAGGTTCAGTTTTTAATCTTCATATGAGATGCCAATACTTCTTTTTTTCAAAAACGGGAAAGGTCAGGAGAGAGAACAGAGAAACATATATAAATACATCTACTATTAACCTCACTGGAGTAGCCGTTTGAACTTATCTCATTTATATTTAAATAAATATGTTTCATGTAGCCTTTCCTTTCTGACATCCCAGCCAAAGAAGAAACAAGTCTTTCTTTGTTTTAGCTCTGTTTTTATAGTTTTAATCTTTTTAATAATTCATAAAGAATAGTGTTTCAGATATTTATTATTTTAGCTTTGTTGTATGCTTCCCAGAGCTGCTTTTTGGGTGAGATGGGTTGCTGAATAGAATAGAATAGAATAGAATAGAATAGAATAGAATAGAATAGAATACTTTATTGGCCAAGTGTGATTGGATTCAAGACAAAGAATTTGTCTTGGTGTAAATACTCTCAGTATACATAAAAGAAAAGATGCATTCATCAAGAGTCGAGAATCATAAGGTATGACACTTACTGATAATCATAGAGTACAATAAGCAATCAAATCACACTAGGAAACAGTCAATATAAATTGTAAGTATACAAGTGACAAAGTTACAGTCATACAGTCACAAGTGGGAGGGGATGGGGGATAAGGAGTGATGACAAGATTAACAGTAATAGTAATGCATACTTTGTAATAGTTGAACAGGGTTGAGGGAATTATTTGTTTAGCAGAGTGATGGCTTTCAGGAAAAAAATTGTTCTAGTGTGCAATGCTCTATAGCATCGTTTTGAGGGAAGGAGCTGAAACAGTTTATGTCCGGGATGTGAGGGGTCTGTAAATATTTTCACAGCCCTCTTTTTGACTTGTGCAGAATATAGGTCCTTGATTGAAGGCAGGTGGGTAGTAATTGTTTTTTCTGCAGTCCTAATTACTCTCTGAAGTCTGTGTCTGTCCTGTTGCGTTGCAGAACCAAACCAGACAGTTATAGAGGTGTAGACTCAATAGACAGTTATAGACTGTTATAGACAGACAGTTATAGACTCAATAATTCCACTGTAGAAGTGTATCAGCAGTTCCTTGGGCAGTTTGAGCTTTCTGAGCAGAAAGAACATTCTTTGTTGTGCTTTTTTGATAACATTTTTGATGTTAGGTGTCCATTTTAGGTCATGTGATATAGTAGAACCTAGAAATTTGAAGGTCTCTACTGTTGATACAGTGTTGTCTAGTATTGTAAGAGGTGGTAGTATGGGAGGGTTTCACCTAAAGTCCACCACCATTTCTACAGTTTTGAGTGTGTTCAGTTCCAGATTGTTCCAGTTACACCACGAGACAAGTTGTATAACCTTCTGTCTGTATGCGGATTCATCATTGTCTCGAATGAGACCAATCATTGTTGTGTCATCAGCAAACTTCAGTCTTTTAATGGATCATTTGAGATGCAATCATTGGTATATAGGGAGAAGAGAAGTGGAGAAAGCACACAGCCTTTGGGGGCCCCTATGCTGATTGTACAGGCATAGGATGTGATTCTGCCTAGCTTCATCTGCTGCTTCCTTTCTGTTAGGAAGCTTATGATCCACTTACAAGTGTGTTCAGGTATTGCTAGTTGGTTTAATTTACTTAGAAGAGTGTTTGGAATGATAGTATTGAATGCTGAAGTCTACAAGGAGGACCCTTGCGTAGGCATTTGGAGATTCAAGGTGTTGTAGGATGTAATGCAGAGCCATGTTAACAGCATCATCTGTCAGTCTATTTGCTCGGTATGCAAACTGCATGAGATCTAACAGCAGATCCGTGATGGTTTTCAGGTGGGACAGCACAAGCCTTTCAAAGATTTTTATAACTACAAATGTTAGAGCAACTGGTCTGTAGTCATTCAGTTCCTTGATGGAGGGCTTCTTTGGCACTGGGATGATGGTAGAACCTTTGAAGCAGGAAGGAACATAGCACATCTCTAGTGATCTATTGAAGATTCAGGTGAAGATGGGGGCCAATTGGTCAGCGCAGACTTTTAAGCAAGAAGGAGTTATTGTGTCTGGCCTTGGTGCTTTTCCTGGCTTTTGTCTGTGTAATAGATCTTGCACTTCTTTTTCTGTGATCACCAGAGGTTGTGAACCCAATGGATTGGGGCCAGTTGTAGGAGGCTTGGCTGTAGTTGGTGTGTTGAGATGTGGGTTGTGGAGTTAGGTGGCTGTGGAATTAGGTGGCTTTCAAACCTGCAGTAAAACACATTCAAGTCATCTACCAGTTGTTGATTTCCTTCTGCCTGGGAAGGAGGTTTGCTGAAGTCAGTGATGTTTTTAAGAGTTTTCCACATGTTGCTGGTTCATTTGTTCAGAACTTTTCAGAGTAGCTTCTTTTTGCTGTTCTGATCTCTCTTGTTAATATGTTTCTGGCCTGGTTGTATAGCATTCTGTCACCTTTTCTGTAGGCTTCCTCTTTGGAATGACATAGCTGCTTAAGTTTAGTTGTGAACCAAAGTTTATTGTTACTATATATTTGCAGGTTCCTTGTTGGTACACATAAGTCTTCTCAGAAGCCGACATATGATGTTACAGTATCTGTGAGCTTCATATATGAAGTAGATATATAAATAAATCTGAAATTTTCCTATACCACAGTATCTATTGCTTGTCTACTGACTCAGAAACCTTCGACAACACGGTGATATAAAATCTCAGTGATAGGCTTTGCTTCCTGTTTGAAAATTATTGTACAAAATTGCTGTATAATTATATACCTGTGCAAATATAAGCCTTATATATTCTTATAAGCTTGTAAGTCAACATTTGTTTCTCATTCAGGCCTCAGAAAAGTGACTTTTCTTGTTTAATGGAAATAATTAAGCATTCTTTCATTAGTATTTAGTCTTTACTTAATTCTGTACAGTCTAATTTAGCCAAGGATGTTATGCTCCCAAGAAAGACATAATTAAGGAAACCATAAAAATATGTTCCCAGAGGCTTAGAGTTTGGCAGAACATTAGATAGCCATATCCATGGGGTCATGTGAAAAGTCTACTTTGTATACGTAATGCAATATTTGGGTCAGAAAACATATATCATACTTAAAAACCTCATCACTGCTCTATTCAGAAGGTTTTCCTGAAATACCTTCTTGAAAATACATTTATTTGACCACTGGAGGCATCATCTCTTTACCCAGTTAATGATAACTGAATACAGGGTAGAATTGAAAGGATCGAATTCAGGGGTGGGATTCTACAGGTTCGTACCTATTCGCTAGAACTGGTTGTAAACATTCTAGGCAGTTCAGAGAACTGGTTGTTAGAAGAAATTACTGGCCTAATCCTGTAAGGAAGGCAGGAAGAAAACATTCTGGTGTTGCTTACGGAAACTGCCTCTCCGTTAACCCTTATTACATTCTTGGCAGGACTAGACTTCCTGTCTCAGGAACTTCTCTGGAGGTTTTTTTTCCTCCTTTGCTGGTATTTTGTTTGTGTCTAGTGACCAAAGTTACAATGGCATTGAAAAAAGTGACTTATGACCATTTTTCACACTTACGACTGTTTGTAGCATCCCCACAGTCATGAGAGGCCAGGCGAGGAGATGTGTGCCTCAATGTGAGTGATGTTGAGTTGGCCACACCCAGCCAGTCACATGACCACCTAGCTACGCCCACCAACTAAGCCATACCCACAGAACCGGTTGCTAAAAAATTTGAATCCCACCCCTGGTCGATTTCAAACAAGAAATTGATGTTGTGCTCAACATAATTTTAACCTTACTTTATTTGAGGAGTCTACAACAAATTTGAAGGTATAGTGAAATGCCTCTATATCAGTTTTAGGAAAGAGAACAAATTATGTAGACCTGGATAATTCTTTTAGTGCTGCAGCTGGATACTGGATTTTTTTTTTCCAGTACAGTTTTGAAAGAAGCAGTATATGACTGTTTCCATGTTTTGGTATATATCTGTGTAATAATCACAGTAGTGTAGGAAATGAGTTTGACACAGCTACTAACTTTTACCTTGTTAATCGTGGGATAAGCTGCAGAATCACCTTCTGCAGTCCTATTCACATCTTTGAGAAAAGAGAGGATAAAAATGTAGGAAATAAATGAAGGAAATAAGCAGGCTATAAAAGTTAGCTTACCTGAAGTCACTTGTATATTACCAGGAATTATCCTTATAAACATACTGTAAATTACTAAATTCTATCAAGGCTTTAATGTAATGTACAAGTGGAAATTTTAACTTCAGCAAAGGATAGAGGCTTAGATCTGGGTCAGGGTTTCTGCATTCTAGATAGATTTTAGATTTTCCATAAAGGTTGGAGGATGCCCTACAAAAGAGCCCCTCCTTCACTGTCATGAGAATGACAAAGAAGTGCTGATTTTTGCTGTTTTTTTTGTGAAGACAGGGAGGGGGAATGGCTAAGAATGCAGAATGTTTTTACTACCATTATCTGCATTAAGAATCTGGAACACACAAAATTGAATTTTCATTGGATTGTAGCAAAACACATACAGAAAATTCTATTTGCTGTCCTCTTGTGGTGGTTCAGATTTTTGTGACCAGAATATGATAAAAAAATCTATCTCTGATAGATTTTCAGGCACCTAAAGCAAATAAATCTACAGAATTTTTAAAATACTATAAAAATAATAAATAAACCATCTCTACTTTTACTGATGAGCCTTGAATTATACCTTTAGGAGACTTATTTTTATTCTCTTTACTCTGTCAATGCACAAAGTGTGTTTCTGTCTTTAGGAGGTGGTTCAGTCAAACTGTGTCCCGGGAGAATAATAGACAATCAAGAACACACAATGACATTCTTTCCTTGCAGCTGATACAGCTTAGAAAAGTCTGAAAAAGCTCTTCTGTTCTGTAACAATTCTGCTTCTGTATTTTTTAACATTTCTTTTTCTTTTCAGTTTTTACTGAAGACATTTGTATCAAAACATGATATTTGTTTAAGGATTCGTCTGCCCCTTCCACTTAATTACACCACCAAAACTCTAATTCTTTGCTTGTAACGTCACTGTGGATTTACTGAATGTCTTTGCCAAAAACAGAGAACTAGGACTACAGGTAGAGGATAAACAGAAGGAGCAGATTCTCTCTTGAGAAACAGAAGATCCTTTTAAAATCTAAACAATTTCACTCATCAAGAGTGAGCTAAAGGAAGGACAGAAAATGCAGGACAATTTCCAGAGGTACAGCTGGAACTTTTTAAGAAGAATTTTGGAAAACTGAAATGCAAAGGTACCCTGTGGGAAAACATTTTAAAAGCATATGCTTTTAGTTATTTTTATTGTTTTAATTTAATTAGCCCTATGAAAGTCTACAAGAATATAATGTGGTCTGCATCTATTATGTACGTATGTATGTTTGTCGGTAGGTAGGTAGGTAGCAGAGATGGTATTCAGCAGGTTCTGACCAATTCTGGAGAACCGGTAGCGGAAATTTTGAGTAGTTTGGAGAACCGGTGGTAGGTAACCTTCCCCCAGGAGTGGTGAGGGAATGGAGATTTTACAGTATTTTTCCCTTGCCATGCCCACCAAGCCACACCCCACCAAGTAATGTCATGCTCACCAAGCCACATCCACCAAGCCACGCCCACAGAACCAGTAGTAAAATTTTTTGAATCCTACCACTGGTATGTAGGTATGTAGGTATATAGATATGTATGTATACATCTCTCTCTCTCTCTCTCTCTCTCTCTCTCTCTCTCTCTCTCATCTATCTCTATCTACTATCATCCCTCCACCCCTCCCTCTCTCTCTCCCTCCATCTCAGTAACATAACAAGCAGGAAATGAGCAAGTGGGTTTTTATATAACATCTATATAAGTTGGTAACTTACAAAATTATAAAAGGCTCTACTATTTTATTTTTACAGAAAGTGGCAAGCCGAAACATATGTTAACACCACTCTCAGATTTCCTGCCCAATATCTACATTGACCTCAGGAACCTACAAAATTACTCTTGCTGTCTTTTAGAACTTTCACTCAATCTACTCTAATCCTCACCAGATGCATTACACCCATGGTGACATTTTGTTGATCCTCTGGTGGCCCGTGCTGGGGATGGTCAAAACAACTCAGCATGAACTCAAGATGCTTTGCAATGTCAAAATGAAAAGTGCCTTAGAACAATACATTCAGCTTAGTCCTTGCAGAGCAGTACTATGAAAATGACCTCTGGCTATCAGGTGTCCTTGAAGATGTATTTGTTTATACACTATTTACTCTCTTAATTTTATGGATTGTCCTGCTGGTGAGTAAAGAGTAAGAGGCTGGAAAGAGATTTACTGGTAGCTTTGATAATTAACACTAACAAGGTCAGATTTTTGTATCTGTTATTATCTGTCTCCCATTCTTCGGGTCACCCTTGAAAAAACACATTTTTCTTAGTCCTAATTGTCTTTAACATGGGAGCTACTTGGGCTACTAGATATCCCTTTCACCTCTTTAAATTTCTTTTTCATTTTTTATCTGTTTGGTACTACTGATATCTGTTTATATTGCAGTTTATATAAGATAAGGACAAGTACATACCTTCCTTTATTAAATTACGTTTCTCATCCTGCATTTCCTTTGGAAATTGGCTTACAGTACAGTACTGTGATTTAGCACTGATTAGCTGCTTTAGACATGGAGAACTTAGCCAAGGTAATACAAGTAGTCCTCAGCTTACAACTGCAGTGTTTCACTTAACAACTGTGGCAAGAAAAGTCATTAAATGGGGCAAAAGTATTCTTTGAAGAGTGAAGTCAATGAGACTTCTGTTCATAGAAATATGATAGTACTACTTTTTTAACAAAAGAAGTCAAAATAGTCCCTTGATATTCAGCAATAACACATTTACAGGAATGTATCAAAATCTCATAAACTCTGCAGCTGAGATTCAGAAATTAAATATAGTGGTGTCGTAGAACAGAGTAACTTCAGGGCTAACAACAAATGATGCCCTGCCTTTCAGTTGGGAATACAGATTTCTATTTCTAAGTATAAACAAGGAAGGTTATTTCAGGTGAGCTATTTGTTTATTGTGCACCTGCTATTTTTGATAGAATAAGAACAGCAAAGAGAAAAGTTGTTCATGGGAAAACATAATGATATATCTCCAAAACTCCTGTTATAGGATAGTCTTCATTTTTCTATAGACCCTACTAATCCTTAAAATGAAGAAATTCACAGCAAACTGAACCCCTTTATTCCACAAAAAAGAATAATATATATTACTATGGTAGAAACTGCTTCAAATAAACTGCTCCTTGAGACTGTTCAAAGATAATGCAAATTCAAATGATCTGAAAGCACTAATATAAATAATGTAGCACATTCAGTTACAAAACAAATATGCTAGCAACAGCTATCAATCAAGCTTTAAAAAATCAGTTTTTATAGATGCAAAGCACTGCACTTTGGGATGAAGTAACCAGAGATGGTATTCAGCAGGTTCTGACTAGTTCTGGAAAAACCAGTAGTGGAAATTTTGAGTAGTTCGGAAAACCACCTCTGACTGACCCTGCCTCCATCTATTCTCTGCCTCCCAAGTCTCAGCTGATCGGCTGGGTCTTCTTTTGTTGCCCTGCACAGGAGAACGGAGCTGGAAAGCAGGTTAGTGGGGTGGGGAGGGAATGGGATTTTGCAGTATCCTTCCCCTGGAGTGGGGTGGGAATGGAGATTTTACAGTCTCCATCCCCTGCCACGCCCACCAAGCCATGCTCACAGAACCGGTAGTAAAAATTTTTGAATCCCATCACTGGAAGTAACGTTTATGGATCTTCACAATTTCTCTCTGTGCAAATCATACCTACCTTCCACAACATAATACATTTTTTTTATACATTCAAATTCAGGTCCTATAGAATACTCCTCAAGATAGCTGATTTGTTGCTGTTGGGATGGATGGTTGTGTCATTTTGTGACTACATTTAATAGTCAAAATTCTTTGAGTTCCACCAAGCCAGGCATTGGAATATTATCATTCCAAATATATGTACATAATAAAAATACTGGACATTGCTCAAGTCCATTATTAGTGGCAAATGATTCAAAAGTACCATACTAAACTTCTAACATTACTTTTATTTTGTTCTGTTGTATGGAACAGAAAGAGAGACTATAAAACAGGAAAAACAAGGGATCTAAATAATGTCAAGATTGTAGATTTCTAGTATAATATTAGTAAATTATGGATTAAATGTAAAACATCTCTGTATATGACTAAAAATCCCTGCTCTGTGTGTGTGTGTGTGTGTGTGTGTATGTGTATAAAACCACATACAGTGGATTGGGTCAAAACTGATACTCTGTTCTTCTTTAAATGTTCCATAAAATAGAATTTAGGTATAAATTCTATACCTCAAAAACTTAAAATCTCAATGAGGTATAAATTCATGTATTAAGCTATAGTTCGTGATTGGTTTCCACTTGGTATTAAGTTCTATGTCAGATTTACTTACCTTTTTAGTAAGAAGCATATATCCTGCAGAAGTCAGCGTATGCAAAGCTAGTTCCATATACAGTACTTAGAGGGAATATATGGCTGGATAAATGTGACAGATTGAAATGAAATTCAACTTTTAAAATGTATTTTATTCTAGTATGAACTATTTTCCAGAACTGTTGACATTACAACATTGCCATCAA